GCGCAGATATCCCTCGTGTGGCTTTGTGCGAAATTCAAAACAAACAAACAATTAGACCTTTTAAATATTTAGGGTTGTTTTTGCTGTACTTACAGTTTTTTTAACCCTTTTATAATTAATTAAAATATTTTTGTCGTTTTTTTATTAATAATTTATGTAATATATTTGAAAAAAATCATAACTACGGATTGTACGCCGTGTTAGAGAATACAGATCCCAAACAAAGTAGGCCTATCGTGAATCAAACATACCCTTCGAAGTCTAAATAGGTTAAATCTCCTGATTGTTCTTATTTGAAGGGATGTTGAAATAATTAGAAACGTACAAAGAATATGAACTTGGTTATTACCAACCCTTACCGATATGAGAGCGAAGAAAGATTAATTAAAACTTCATCTACACCAATATTACGCTTTAGAAAATCAAATGTGTTAACTCGTGTGACAGAAGACTGCTTAGAAATAAGTGGAGAACAATGAACACTTGGAAATTAATAAATTCAAAATGTTGAAAGACAAAAGTAAGTGAAATATTAGGAAATTTAGGTTGTCCTAGAGTATATAAATGAGATACCGTCCCTAATTAACTAAAGCGAATTCAATCCATTATTTCGGAAACCGCCTGGATAAATTTGTGGCAAATCAAAAAAGTCTAGTTTAACTACAATAACCTGGAATTGTCGACCGAAAGTGACAGCAAGTTTAGTTGTAATGTGACGAAAATAAAAAATGCAGGTAAGGCTGTTTACACTACAGAGAATTTATTGAGATTTTTTAAGTTTGATTATTTGATAACCGATTTAGGCATGGCAATTTTTTTCTGTTGTAAAATATTTAGAAAAAATGTATAAAGTCTTAGACATTCTTCTAGCAAGTACAGAGTGGGCCTAATATGACTTTTGTGAACAAACGATTCACAAAAAGAAAACAACCCTGTACAGTTATTTTAACGTCATTCATCGTGTTATCCGATGATTTTGTCTTGTCTTTGATGTTAAATATGTGATTAGTGATTTATATTTAGTTTAAAACTTAATGCTCGGGCTACTGTACTTTTCCTCAAAATCAAATATAGGCCTAGGAACATAACTCCAAATGTTAGCGTTATGTTAGTGGACATTCTATAAATATAAGTCAAGTGACTTGCTTTGATACTTTTACATTGATTTATAATACAGAGAATGAATAACTTCATTTTAAATATTCAATACAATAAACTTTGAATGGATTATTTGACTTTAAAGATGTCTTACCGTTAGACCTTTAGAGTTTTAACAACATTGTTGTTAGCTATATTTTAAATGTTTTAATTTAGATTTTAGCTAGAGGGGAATGACGTTAATATCAAGCAAGTTTATAGAAGCAATTCTAGAACACCTAGAATATTCGTGTATATTAGAGATCGAGAGATTTTGCGAAGTGTCTAGAAAAAAGACTAAATCATAAATACGAGAATCAGTGAAGCACTAAGTCAGTTTTCACCATTCAGTGAAGCATTTGGATCAGTGTTAATTACTGTGAATATTTAGTTGTTCGATCGGTTAGCCATGAAATTGCACAAGTTTATTTGTGCGATAGTCATAATACCATTAATAAGTAAATCTCTTGAAGTTAAAAGTGAAAACGTTGTTTGTGAATTTTAGCCTACAAGTACAACTGTGTACAAGTGATGATAGCCCGTAGGTTAAGGAAGAAATATACTAATTTCTTATCATTACGTGAACTAGACTTGGCCTTATTTTCACCTAATAATTTAATTAAAAAAACCAACTCAACGAAAGAACAACGTTACAACAGAGTGTTTTTATTTATTTGTTACTTTCTTTTTTTAACGGCAAAACGTGAATTTCATTGAAGAAAATATGTAGAGGTCTAATCTATTACGGCTGCAACAGACCAATTTCATTGAACTCACGGTTTATCAGGCCTCATACAGTGGTGGAATGTAAGCAGCTTGTTTGGCTTACATGTATATTGTTAAGTTTCCGTTCGTTAGTTAATTTTCCGTAAATCCGTTCGACGAAACTTTATCGACACAAGTCCTTTCTTAATAAAACTGGTTTATTCTTTCCGAATACAACTTTACGATACACTTCATTTCAACAGTCGCTCTATAACAAACGTCTCACGAGGGCAACAATATTCTGTCCGCATACATTAAATTACTCATCACCTACACATTGTCCGTCACGTTGTCACCATCTTATATATACCAGACTACCCTATATCCAGT